CTTCAAGAGTAAAAATGTTACAAGTAAAAAAAACAAGACAAGTTGTTAAATTAGCATCGTCTCAATTCAACTTTCTAGAATGAAATTGAATGAATTTTGATCTCTGATTAATTAAAAGTGTACATTGCTTGTTAGTACAAAAACGATTTTATATCGAATATAACAAACTCAAGTCCTTAGTCCATAGCGCATGCGAGCATGGTTAAGGAGTCTACTATGAAGGCAGTAAGGTTTTGGGCTTGAAGCCCTACCCCTAGCCAGTATGTGCCATGCGGAAGGAAGGGGGTTCTCTTAGAGCATCGGCAATGGGCGTGGAAAACCCTTGCCACGCTTGCCAACTCAGCAACTCTCCCAATCTACCTCGCGTGGCTAAGTAATTCTTCCACGGTTTTGAGGGGCATGAGCGAGGCACTCCATGTCTCCATGCTTCGCTTCATCTTTGTTTTTTAATTTTTTTCTTTTTTAAAAAAAACATTTTTTTTGTAAAGAAGAAGTTGATAAAATAAAAAATAATTTTTTATAATTTAAACACATCAAAAAGTGTAAAAATAGTAAAAACATTGACTTGCCACTATAGAGTTTGCCACTCCATTCAAGTACCACTTGCTGATTAGACTATTTTTGATTGGTTGAGATGTGACACGTCAGCGTGTGCCATTTTATTTTTGCCTTGTCATTGTTCATGCTCTTAGTTCGACAATGAATCAAGTTTGTCTTGACCCTTGCGAAGGAGATGATTAGGCAGAACTTAGAATTTTCAGCCCTAATCAAAGATATGACATTATATAGGAACGTCTAGAGATCTAGAACTAGGATAGTTGGGTAGTCGTTTGGACTTAGGTCTTTTTGCGTAGGTTGTTTGTCTTTTGTCTCATTACAATCCTCTTGAATTTAATTGCTTATTTTTATTGGATGATTGTTAAGAGTATCCCACATCGAAAAAGTGTGAGAAAAAATAATCGGTATATAAGCTCTTGAGTTGAACTTAGACCTGGCAAAATATGACCCGACCCGTTTTTTACCCGAAACCCGACCCGAAATTAGCGGGTTTTGAACATGATTTTTGTGACCCGAACCCGAAGACCCGTTAAAATTTTGGGTCGGGTCGGATCGGGTCGGGTCTGACCCGACGGGTTAAGCACTCTAAACTTAGGAACTAAGATTTTATATTTTTATTTATTACTCAAATATCAAATAGACAAATAATACCGTACTCAAACCCGTTAAACCTAATTGCACCCTCTCTCCATCGGCCGACTCTCCATCTCGACTTTTCTCCGCTGATCGTTGCCATCTTCCGGCAATTTTGTGCCGTCTCGCGCGCCGGAATCGAAGCAGGGGCAGAATCGCCGGCGGGGACGGAAATTGAGGACGCTCCTGGTACGATGCGGCCAAAACGACGGCGAACTCCAAACCTTCTAGCAAACCCGATCTGATTACCCGATCCGATTGTCTAGTTGAGGTTCAATTTTTTTTGTTTTCTTTCCTTTGTTTTTGACAGCCACATTTATTTGGGTTTGGTTCCATTAGATTATACAATTACGGAGTATTTTCTTTGTAGACTTGTAGAGTATTTGGGTCTATATTTGGGTCTAGGTACAATTTTTTGGGTCTCGCTTTTGACAGCTACAATTCTTTATTCTTCACAAGAAAAGTTTGGATTTTTGGAACCTAAGAAACAAGCACAATAGTGGAATTGCTAATCCTAATTCATCATCTTCAGTTGGACGTAACTCATGTTTAACTCTCTCTTAAAAGTTAAAAACTTAGAATTTAAAATCAGTTTTTTGACTTTTTTCTATTTACGAAGTAATGGGAGTATTGTTTAATCTATGTTTTCCATTTACGTGATATTATTTTTCTCCTGGAGTAGCATAAAAGCCATTTGGCCCATTCCTCATTAGCCATATGTACTCAAATTTGTTTGTCTGCTAAATGCTAATAGTCAAAATAGATTTTTTAAAAAAA